ATGGCGGCGATGAGGAATGAGCTTCATGGGATGAAGAACATCTTGAAGGCGATGGTAGCGATTGGTATTAGTCTTCTTCCTGGTGCCGTTTGTGGAGTTTTCGGTTGTGGCGGATTTGGTGTTTTATGTTGGATGTCGTTTGTGGGTCGATTATGGCGATTGTAGGGTTATTTACTTATGGATTTTGGGAATTTTGTGATTTTCTGTTGGTTTTTGTTCTAGTGGCCATCATCATCGGATAGTATCATGATAGGGTTAAGTATGTAAGTATCGATGGTATTTTGATGTCTTGAAACTGTTTATTTTTGGGGTTTTGGATAGTAGGAAATCACGTGAATGTTGTAGTTATGTCCACTTTTGTATGAATGTTCTTTGGAATGTAATGGAAGATGTATACTACTACGTTCTCATGTTATTTTTTGAAGCAATGGAAATGGTAGATCTGTGTTAAAGTTTGTAGTTTCATGTCAACAGAAAAAGTACAATCAAAAGTACATTGTTATTTTATGTGTCTTAACAGCCAAAGTACAATGTTAATGAACTCAATTAACAAGAATAAAAAGGACAGTCATAGTAGCATGCTATTTTAGATACTACCTAAATAATTAACATCAATGAAACTACATAATTGTCACCCTTCAAAGTACAATGTTATTTATAATAGATAGATGAGAACATACAAAGCACAATGTTTTAAGGGAAAATGTCATTAATTTTTTTTAAACACACTTACAAACTTATAACAAAAACATCTACCAATACTCCATAACCATAAAGCTTTTAATCCACGCCCATTCGTTTGGATGAGCTTTATCCTTCACCATTTTGGCCCTCCACCTTTTTTCTAACTTTTTCTTGATTATCCTCTCTGACTTTTTCCTTAGCTTGACTGTATGTTGTTGTTGACCCTTCTCTTTTTTCAGACCAATTCCACTTTCACCTTCAGGTTGACCCCTCCTCTTTTTCTGGCCACTTCCACCTTCACCTTCAGCTTGACCCCTCCTCTTTTTCTGACCCCTTGCACCTTCACCTTCAGCTTGACCCTTTTATACACCACTTACCCCTTCAGCTTGACCCTTTCCCTTCTTCAAACCATTTCCACCTCCATTTTCAACCTTTTTATTTTTTACCTGAAATTTTGGGGGCCTTTCCATTGTATTACAAGTTTATTTGTTGTGCCCTGCCTGTTTAAAAGCACCAAATACAATCCTTTTTCCTGACTTTGATACTTTGTGAGATCCACTAACCTATGTACTACACCTGCTCCTCTTAACAGTGGGTCTCCCTGGCATCTTCCTTTTCAGTGGTGGTAATGGTGCTATGTAGTCTGTTGGGGGCCACATTGCACTCCAATTCATACTTCCTATTGAGTACTTGTAGGTGTTCATCTATATGCAAGCACGATATAAAGGATCAACAAATGCCTCTACATTTCTGTTTACATAAGAAATGGTTGCCACTTAATGGACACAACCATACCATTCAGATGCGATATCCTACAAGTACGTGTTTTCTTATCAAAATCAACAACATATGACTCTCCTAAGTTTCTTTTTTCAAAGGTATTCAGTCCATTAGGAAGCACTTGCCAGTACCTACAAATGTTGAAAGGTATTCAGTCCATTAGGAAGCACTTGCAATAAGCTACTTTGGTTGAAAAAATAACAAAGAAGAACAAACCTTTGTTGGATCTTCAATTCATTTATGGCAAGCCTTATGTTTGGACATACATCAAAATGTCCCCATCCACTAGCTTTTTGTCTCAAACTACACATTTTATACATCACATATAGTCTAATATCCTCCAACATAGTAATAATTGGCTTCTTCCTAGCATCCAAGATAACATTGTTAAAGCTTTCAAACAACCCATTCTCAACAGCATCACACCCCTTCCTATTTGAAAAAGTGCTATGGATCATGACTTTGGATTCCTTCCCATAAGATTCATATATGTAGCATGGCTAATCATTTGAATCTCTTTCTTTTCATAATTGAAAAAAGGTTTAGTCGATGCTTTACAAACCTTCCAAAACAATGGCTCATATTGAGCACCAAAAAGTTTCTTCGTGAAGTTAGACAAAACATGCCTAGCACATTGCCTATGTTCTACCTCTGGGAATAAATCCTTCACTGCTTCAATTATCCCCTGCATTTAAACCATAAGGACATTTAGAACTAGATCATATATGAAACACATAAAGCATGGCATAATGAACAAAAACATACCTTATGTTGATCTGACATCAATATCTTACCATACCCACTTTTAAGATGCAAATCTTCTTGCATATTTTCTAGAAAGCATTTCCAATTGTCTTTACTTTCAACACAAACCACGGCCAAAGCTATTGGGTATATATGATTGTTTCCATCCCTCCCAACAACACATAATAACTGACCATTACACATTCCTTTTAAAAAACACAAATCGAAGATTATAATCCCTCAACATCCACTTCTCCAACCTTGCTTTAGTTCATAAAAACCAGTGTTCCAAAAAACGGCCTACGCGACCGCCTAGGCGCTAGGTGGAGCTCTACCTATGAGGTTTATGGCTAATTGGCAACTATAATCGCTTTGGTCAACGTTGGTCAAATCTGGAACTAATCGGGGATAATCGGAGTTAGGCGCTTGAAACGGTCAAAAGCGGTTAACGAAAATTCAAAAAAAAAATAGGGGCAAAATGTCAAATTGAAAAATTTTCTAGGTTTGGTTCCAAATTTACTCATTCGAATGTATTGGGAAAAGGGATTCTCTTTCGTCTCAACTCTCAACCATGAATGGAATGAAAAATTGAACCGCTAACATCCTTTTCTTTCGATCACGCCTTTTGCTCTTGTACGACCCTGCTCAACTTTGAACTTCGCCATCACAATCTCAAGTTAGAGAAGCCCGTGCTCAGAAGAACTTCTCCATCGCATTCTCAACTTCGAAGCTCACGTCATGCATTTCGTGTTTAAGTCCACCCCTGCTCCTCCGATGCTGCGTACTGCTCCGGAATATCGTTGACACCAACTCTTATCATCGATGAAGGTTAGTTCTTCTGGAAGACTCAATATTCGCTTTATTGTTGCTTGATTTCACCAGTTCTTGTTCATTCTTTGGCTACTGATTTCTATGCGAACCAGATTCATAGTCAATCTACTTTCGTTTGTTCTTCCGTTTCTTAATTTCACCAAATTCCATGTCAATATTAGCTCTATTGTTGCTTGATTTCAGAAGATTCCATGTCATTCCGATTTAGCCAATTTTGTTCTCCTCCACTATTAACGGGTTAACTGTTAAGCTGTTAAGCAATTGAAGTTAATTTTTAAGCATAATGTGAGCATTTGCTCAACATATGTAAGGTTTTAGGTTGAGTGATAAATAACTGATAAGTATTTGTTAGCATTTTTCAAGCATCTGTGAATTCAATTGTCAAGCATTTGTTCAACATATGTAAGCATTTGTTCAACATATGTCAATTTTCAAGCATTTGTTCAACACATGTTCAACATATGATACAATGGCTTTCTTCTCCAAGAAACTATTCAACATCTATTCAACATCCGTTCAACATTTGTGGAGTATTAAAAATTTGTCTATACAAAGCTAAAACCTTAATACATTTGTCGAGTATCACCCTTAAGCTAGATGCAAAGTAACAAGAGTTCTTCAAGAAAAAACATTGAAGGAGCAACAAAGTACCTCCTCTTACAGCTCAATGACCTTCAATTGTAAGGTTTTTTTTTGCTCTAAGTTTCCAATTATGAATGGAGTCCATATTTTTACATGTTGTTCAAAAACTTGGTGTTAATGTTATGTATACTTATGTGTAGTTTTTTTGGAGAGAGTATGCATGATGATAACAACATTGTGTTTGCTTATTACAAAGAAGGTGCAACCGATCCAACATTCTTGTTCTTTGGTGTTGGGTTGAAGGAGGTGAAGTGTTAAGAGTTTTTATTATTGTTATGTACTCTTAAAGCAAGTATTGCAGGGCTAAGTAAAAGAGTTAAAGGTTTGGATTGTTACTGGTATTTTGAGTTCAGTTTTATGTTATCTTGGAAGTGTGTGAGATTGGTTCAAGATTTATTGATTCTTTTTTACAACAATATAATTTTTATCAAGGGTTAAGTTAAGAAGTTAAAGATTTGGATAGTTACTGGTATTTTGAGACCATATTTTACCTTAATTTTTGATGTTATATTAATTAATGTTATATTTAATGTTATATTCTTAAGATTAATGTTATATTTATTAATTTATTTTAAAATTTTATTAATAATTAATGGTCCCCGATTAATCCCCGCCTAGCTGATTAATCTTTTGACCCTAGTCGCCAGCCGAGCTACCGTAGAGCGATTTCTGCAACCTTGACGGTTGACCCTGGATTAGACCTTATCTCCTCACCATAGGACCACAAATTTGCATAATTTTCAACTATGGTACCTTCAACAAGAGACACTACATATTTCTTAGCTCTCCTATATTTTCCCATACTAACCTCTATGCCAAATTTAGTCTTTACTTCCTCTTTTAGCATCCTAACATTGAATTTCTGATTCTCAAGAACTTCCCTGATGAAATGACTACCAATCCATCTATAATTAACAAATGACCCTAACTTAAAAAACCTGGCACAATTATGCTCATTTATAAGGGACTTGATTTGGAATGAGTGCTCCTCACTCATCCATGACGCCCAGAGCCTAAATGCACATTCACTATCACAACACTAAACCAATAACCTTTTACTGTCATTTTTTATAGTATACTTGATACCCATTGGCTACATCAAAATTACAAAACATGAATTTCAATTGTTTAGGGTTGGTTAACCTCATACCTAGAATTGGCAATCGCTTCTTCCAAGGTATGTCTTCATTAAACATTGGTTTTCCTTTCACATCTGGGACATTGTCATCTTCATCATCTTTTGGATTTTCACCTTCTGTGGCATCCTCATTTCCATTTGCCTGACGTACTACTTCATAGGTTACTCCTTCCATGATGCTCTATTGTGGACTCATGAACTCAGTTAGATCAATACCTTCTTCCCTTTCGATTGGCATGTTTGACATAACAGAACAATTGTCCTCAATTTCATTTTCCTCAGTTATGTGCACAGTAGTACCAAAATGGTCCATGTAAATAGGCAGTTGTACTCCACTCCAATAAGCAATGTCTATAAACTCTTGATATTGAAGTTCATTAGAAATCAAGGTTAAACCTTCTAGGATTTCTAAATCAGGTTGACAATAATAAAGCTTCTCACAATTCTCTTATGTGAATCACTCAAGAAAACTCATAGATTTAGTATAAGACATACCAGCAAAATCGATATTCTCGAACACATGATGAATACCATCAGAGTAGCAAAACGTTTTGTTGATGAACACACCTTCAAAATGAACTTTGATTGAGACGAATATAGTCATCGATCTACAGTAACTATGGTGGGAGCAAGGGTTTCTTCAATGAGGACGGGGATTGATGAACGCAATTGGCTTATTTAAAACAATTCAAGATAAAAGTAATACACGTGGCCATTTCATTAAATGACATGGCACCGACATTTTCTTTCGTGGCACGTATATTACCTTTGAACCTGGTATCAGGTCACATAAGAGTACTTTAAAACAGGAAAATATAAGTTCATTATCTTAATATGCAAAAAAAAAAAGTTTAGTGACATTAAACAAAAACAACAAGTTTGATGGGCTAATATGACATTTTTCCCATAAAACTACCAGATATACTAAATTTTACTCAGCTAAATTTTTTTTTGTCTTATAAGTTACAATAACTTAAGGAAAAGTTACTGTTTCAAAGTTGCAAAACTGTTGTGTTTCAAAGCTACAATATGGATGTGCAAAGTTGCCACACAGTTTGCAAAGCTGTTATATTACAAAATGGTTGTCTTTTACTATTGAAAAGATATTGTTGCGAAGCTGATTATGGGCATGTTCGGCAAAACTAGCTGGTAGCGGGTAACGTTTTGTTAAACGCTACGCGAAGTAGCATTTGGATTTGGAGCGTTTTGTTTAAACTCAACAATAGAAGCTTGTGGTGCCAAACAAAGCTTTCAGTTTAAAACAGAGCGTTTTGTTAAACGCTTGAAGCTGGAAGCTCTTAAACGCTCCGTGTCGAACACGCCCATGTCGAAAAATTATTTCAACGCAAAATTGTTGTAATGCTAAGTTGTTTAGTGCTTAGCTATTTTAACGCTAAGTTGTAAGCCAAACAACTATAAGTCAAACTGATGTATGTGTTGTTGTATAGAAAATACTTGTGAATAGATACAACTTCTCTCTAACCACAAATAAATTATGTAAATACCAGTTTTCGTTATCATTATCCATTTATGAATTTTTGAGTATAAATACGGTTATACTAGATATTTTCTAGACTAACGAATTAAGATCAACTCAAAAACAATTCTTGGTTTTGCTTTATTTCTTTTCCCATAGAAATAAAGTTTTCGATTATTGTATTATCTTACAAAAATATTTGTTGATACCAAGCACAGGGTAAACAATAAAAGTGAAATTATTATATGATTACTATGATATGATAACTATCTATACAATCTCATTATTTTAATCTACAACACACAATTTTCATTTCATTCCCAACAATTGTGTGGTAAATAGTTTGGGATTAATCTCGATTCTCGAAAACTTCAATTCTTGGATGATCACATGCCTTATAACAAAGATGTTTGCATGGTCCATTTGGTTTGCGGGGTACTGCATGGACCCGAATAGAAGTTGGCTTAAATGGAGTAAAGTATATATATCATTGTTACCTAAAAAGAAGACACTTTGAAGGGAATTTGCATAAAATTAATTGTGTAGAGCCATAGAGGAGGGGGTCGCTCAAGGGAAAACAGGCGAGAGAAAGAAGAGAAGGGAGGGGGTAGGGTCATAATTTTTTTTCTTATTTTGTTTTTTATTCCATATTATGATTATGATTTTCTCTTCAATAACACTTGTACATGTTTTATTCCAGCTTAATCCATTATATCCTACCTAGTAAATTAAATAATTTTGTCATATGTCATTCTTTCATTCATTATACTACATGTCATTTGGTCATAATTTTGAGATATTTATTTTCCACTTGTCATTTATTTCATTTTTCATTTTGCAATATATCATTAATTTAGTTTTCATAAATTAAACATAAATTAAACATACAATAATAACTATATTAATTTCAAATTTTAAATTTCAAACTTCAATTTCAATTTTAAATAAATTTACAGTTTAAACTTTCGTATTTAATATTTTGTTATAATTAATGTGTTTAGTACACGGGTCCGACAACTAAATACATAATTTTAATTTATTTTTTTTCATTTTTTTTTCCTCATAATTTTTACTTATTTCAAATTTTAAATTCAAATAAACTTCCCGTTTGATCATTTGTATTTAATATTTTATTTTAACTAACCTGTATATTAACTCGTATAATATATGAGTGTGACAACTAATATGTACTAAAAATAATGTCATTTAAAACGAAAAAAAATATACAAAGTACATCTATTTTTTGGTGAAATTTATCTCAACTGTATCTTTAAATTAAGATAATCAATCACATATTTATACTTCTATTATTATATCCATTACAATATGTTTCTTTATTTTAATAAAATAACCTTAAATTGCTGATCAATCTGAGATGATTGTTCTTAGCCTTTCTTAACGACTTAAAATATATAATTTCATTAGCACTAAAGAAAAATAATGGAAATTTATATAATAAAACGAGTGACAACTTTTTTTGTTTTAAGATAATATTAATAAAATTAAGTTTATCCATTTTAGCCGTTTATTTGAAGATTTTTATGTGGACCATGACATACAACAGGCACATGAGAATCCAACATAGGTAGACATCCTAATTTAATGTGTTTTGTTTGGTGCCCAAAATGGATCCATGCTTCTAAATGGCCTTATTCTTTTAAACTTCAATAATAAGGGGACAGCTTTACATATGTGCCCCTACCCTTGGTAGAGGGCTCAAGAACATATACATCAACCATTATTGGATATGTAATTCTTTCAAACTTATGACTCCTTCATTCAAAGTGAAAGGATGTAGCATTTTATATGTAATGATGAAACGGTAGATGGAATGAAGAATTAAGGTGTGAATGGAAAAAGAAACGTATGTTTACTATTTTTGCATGGTTGACTAATTTTTTCAAGCGTCGTGGTCCTTAAAATTTCAAGATCTACACATTTTAAACATGTAAATTTAATTCTTAATTCCGCGATATACGCCCAAAGTTATTTAAATTTTTTTTTAGGAAAATAAGAAATTAAATATCATTCTATTTTTTTCCTACCATTTTTACACGATGACAGGTATAATATATATTTTTTAATTTTATCAAAAATAACAAGTATAACAATCTTAAGTGTAGGAAGATGATAGGAAGAAAAATATAAGAATTTTTTATTTTTTTTATGAAAATATATGGTCGTATAAATAAATACTATTGTTTATAGTGTGACAACCACATTAAACAAACTTGATTAGGGACACATATATACTCCTGCCCCATGGCAGTAGCTCCACTTCTATTGGCATATACTCACTTATTTCTTAAAGAGTAATCTTCTTGTTTACATTTTGTTGAAAATAATGGAGTTTCATTGCTAAAAAATAGTTAGGTTTCATATGTAAAAAGGGAGCTAATAGTTTTTGGAATTTTTATCCATCCACTTAATAGAAGTATATTTTCCTATTTATGCCTTTCCTCATTGTCCTTTATTTTGATTTTGCGGCTCTTTATAGTTTTGATTTTTATGCATTTTATTTGGAAACCCACGACCTTGGTTGTTTCCCAAAATGACCCTTAATTGGTTTTATATTTTATGTTTACTTTTATTTTTAATTATGATTATATTATATATTATTAAAATAAAGTATTTATAAATAATAATATATTTTCAAATATTTGAAACAAAAATTAAATAAAGGTTCATATAGATATGACACGAGCTATATATTATTATCAAAATTGGTTAAATATTTTTGTTTGATTTATTAAGTGTAGTACTATATAAGCTAAATAAAAAAAAAAATTGTTAGTGGTGTAATCTAAAAATGTATCACTGTCACAAATAACATAGCAATCACGAACCACGATTTGGAATAACAGTTCTCGCGATGCATTAGTTTGAACATTTTTGTGTGATATCCTCATTTTACGGTCATTTTAAAAGTTCTTATTTATGCTTATTTAAAAAGAGTTTATTTATAAATGCGGAATTTTTTTCCATAAAAGTATTTTTGAAGAAATGTTTTTTTTCATTGATTTATAAAAGCTTGGGATGTCGTAACTGATACAAAATATAAGCATAAACAGACCTTAGAGTATCTTAGACAATGATCAGTATACATCTCCTTGAATCTCTCATGTACCTTTGTATCGCTACATGTGATACAAACAAGTTGAGTGGGTCAGGTTGGAAAATCTGGTGAGTACATAAGGTTTTCAACCCACAATAATATAGTTAATATGTTTCATTATTAAAAAATTAACTCGATTACCCATCCCCGTTTTCTTTTTATTCTTCCATAAGGATATGTCATAAGGGTCATCATAGTCAGCGTTGTTGGCAATACTGTTGTGGGGATTTCTCCGCAATACATGTCAGTAGGTTTTATTTCTACCTTCATTCCTAAGGATTATCTTAATCATCGTTGTTGACAGTACTGTTACAGTGATTTCTCTGCAATATGTGTCAGTAGAGTAGAGTACATCAAATGGGCACGAAGTCCATCACCTACAAGTTATAAACATGTCTGTGTTCCAAGGGGCTGTCATCAAATAGTCTGGTATTTGTCACCTATACTCTGTTAGATAACTACATCATTGGTACACTAGAACCATTCCTACATCGTTAGTACACTAGTACCATTTCTACCTCATTAGTACACTAGTACTATCAAAGTCGTGATATCCTAGTGTCATTCTTATCATTCATTGTAATATGGTATCTTATTAGCTTCATCTCTCATCATAATATGGCATCTTAACCCTCCTTAATCGTCTCATTACCCTTCTTTATCTAACTTATTATATTCATGAAAATACATATACAGCATAAGTCATATAAAATTTATCTTTATAATATTTCATCTATCACATAACATCTTTTCACATAAGCACATATAGCATTCAATTATCTAAATACTTCATATCTATGTATAAGATGAAAGTAATTATGAATTCACTTGATAAAGTGGATGGTTGAAAAGTCAAGCAGGGCTTCGCTTCAATACTTAGCTTTTCCTTCGATGTGACCTAGGTTCATTTCATTAAGTCTTAGTCTTATATTCCAGGAAACTAATGATAGTCTATATTCCTCACTAATACCAATATATACATCAAGATTTATCAAGTAAGGAACAACGAGGT